GGGGGTGGGGTGGGGGGCACCCATGGGTGTCCGTGTTCCCCCCACCCCCCCCCCGCACCCTGTTCACCTTGGGGTAGAGCACGGGGTAGAAGCGGTCCACGTTGATGTCCTCGCACACCAGCTGCGGGAAGGATGGGTGATGCGATGGGTAGCTCAGGGTCGGGGGGCACCCATGGGTGCTGCCAGAGGTGTCACACCCACCTTGGCCATCTGCACCACGTTGGGGAACTCGGCCAGGCAGGAGATGGGCACCACGTCGTGCAGGGTGCGGGCTCGGGTGCTGCGGGGACAAGCGGGGGTCAGGGTGGCCCCCTACCCCCAGCCAGCACCCATGGGTGCCCCCAGCACCCTGCTCACGGCAGCAGAAGGTGGAGGTGCTCCTGCTCATCGTACTTGAGGGAGAAGACGAGGTGGCCCAGCGCCGGGTCCAGGGAGTAGTAGTTGAAGTGCTCCTGCGGGGAGGGACCCAAGCGCCCACGACCGTGCTGATGGGTGCTCACGCGGGTGGGCACCCATGCCATGGGGCACCCATGCCCATGGGCACCAAGTTCCATGAGCACCCATGCCATGGGGCTACCCACGCCCACAAGCACCAACATCCACGATCACCCATGCCGATGGGGCACCCATCTTACAGCCACTCGCAGGTTCCCCATGCCCATGGACACCCATGTCCACAAGCACCCCAACCCCAAGGGGTACCCATGTCCGTGAGCACCCACATTTGCAGATATCACCACCCTAGGAGCACCTACTCTCATGGGCTCACACGCAGTAGGCCACCCATACCCGTTAGCACCCATGCCATGGGTCACCCAGGCTCCTGAGCACCCATACCCATGGGGCACCCATGTCCATGAGCACCCATACCCACAGATACCCACACCCATGCATCACCCACGTCCATGAGCACCCATACACGATCTCCCATGCCATGGGGCATCCAGGTCCATCAGCATCCATGAGCACCCGTGCCATGGATCACCAGGTTCCTGAGCACCCATACCCATGAGCACCCATACTTAAAGAGCCCCCACACCCACCCATGCCCATGGGGAACCCATGTCCATGAGCACCCATAGCCATAGGTGCCCTCACCCATGCATCACCCATGTCTATGAGCACCCATACCTATAGTCACCCATTCTCATGCATCACCCATGTCCACGAGCACCCATACACGAGCTCCCATGCCATGGGGCACCCAGGTCCATCAGCACCCATGCCTATATGTACCCACACCCGTGTCCATGAGCAACTCCATGCCCTCGTGCACCCGTGGGGAACCCACCCACTGCAAGCACCCACGTCTGGAGCACCCGTGGGGCCTCACCTTGCCCAAGAAGTGCTTGCGGTAGATCTTGGCCGTGTGGTTGCCCTCCAGCCTTGCCCGGGTGCTGGTTGCTGGGGTGAGGGGGGACTCGGGTGCCTCGCTCAGCTGGTGGTTGGTGCCCTCGATCCAGTAACCCCCAAACTGGGGCAGGAGGATGAGTGGGAACGGCCCCTCCCGGCCCAGGACCTGCACCCACAAGCGCGGTGGGTGCTCCGGCCGGCCACCCATCGACCCACCCAGCCGCTCGCCTGCCCTTGCACCCATCTTTGGGGGGGGGTTGGGGGG